AGCAAAAAAATTATTGTCGATGTCAGAGGTGAAATATTGGAATTAAAGAGTACGGTAAACTCTATGGTGGACCAATTACGTATGTTTGCAGCTGAAGTAACTCGTGTAGCTCGCGAAGTGGGTACTGAAGGCAAATTGGGTGTCCAAGCCGAAGTCGAAGGTGTTGACGGTACCTGGAAAGAAATCACGTCCAATGTAAACACAATGGCTGCTAATCTTACATCGCAAGTACGCGCATTTGCCCAAATCTCAGCTGCAGCAACTGACGGCGATTTCACGCAATTCATTACTGTTGATGCATCAGGCGAAATGGATTCTCTAAAAACAAAGATCAATCAGATGGTATTAAATCTGCGTGATAGTATTCAAAAGAACACAGCCGCTAGAGAAGCAGCTGAACTTGCAAACAGGAGTAAGAGTGAATTCTTGGCCAACATGTCTCATGAGATTCGTACGCCTATGAACGGTATTATTGGTATGACTACCCTGACTTTGGAAACTGAATTGACTCGACAGCAACGTGAGAATTTAATGATTGTAAGTTCCTTGGCCAACTCTCTGTTAACGATTATCGATGATATCTTGGATATCTCTAAGAGTATGTATAACGATATTTTTTTTATTTGACGATGTTATAATATTTTTGCGAGTACCTTGCTGATACAATCACTTACATTCTACAGTTGAAGCTGGACGCATGACAATCGAACAAATTACATTTTCGCTTCGCCCAGCGGTCTTTAGCGTACTAAAAACACTGGCAGTAAAGGCAAATCAAAAGAAATTGGATTTAATATACGAAGTAGATAATAACATTCCAGATCAATTAATTGGTGATCCTCTTAGAATGCGTCAAGTTATCACAAACCTTATTGGCAATGCTATCAAATTTACAACCGAGGGCGTTGTTGTCCTTTCCGTCCATACTAGGCAAATCAATAGGGATCAAGTCACTTTGGAATTTTGTGTTTCCGATTCAGGCATTGGTATTCAAGAAGATAAACTGGATATGATATTTGACACATTCTGTCAAGCTGATGGTTCAACAACCAGGAAATATGGTGGAACTGGACTGGGACTCTCAATTTCAAAACGACTGGTATCCCTCATGGGAGGTGACTTGTGGGTGAAGAGTGTTTATGAGCGTGGATCACAATTCTTCTTTACAGTAAAAGTAAAGTTGGGAACCATGTCAC